TTGGTGCGTGACCGCAGAGTCCAAGGGACGACTGCTTGAGGCCGGTCACGCACGGCCTTTTTATGAGACGTTGTTTGAGGATTAGCTCCGTTCTTAAAGGCCCTTAGTGGGCACCCTTACCCAAGGAGACGGAAATCCGTGAGTTAGGGGGGGTGTGACATTTTTAGGGTCGACCTTTTCTAACCCTTCCTTCCTTGTGAGAAGGCAGCATCGCTGCAGATGCTGGTTGTCCGAGGGAAACACCTTACTGCTGTCACACCCCTCTGCAGTCAGCAGTACGACTTCGCCCTCAGACCTTGAGTAGCTGCTTTTAGTCTCATCGTTCTCCAATCGACCTGCCTGGCATGGTAGGACCCGCAGGAACATGTGTTCCAGCCAGTATAGCTCGGTTGGGTCATCACGATAGGCAAGCCCGACCACCACGTCAAGGTAGCAGCTTCGGTCGGGTGGTGGTTGGGCATTGGTAACACATGTCCCAACCACCTCAACTGATGAAGTTTCACTACTTCATCTATTGATTTGCCATTCCTACTTAGAACTCGTTACGTAACGACAGCATTGCTTATACGGTTGTCCAAGGATACACGAGCAATGCTTCGGAGACATCGATGATCGAAGACTAGTAACCTACGAAAGTCCTCTACTCTTAACGGCCATGTTTCGCATCCGTACAGTAGGACGGAGCGAACTGCTGCACAGTACACTCGTCCTTTGGTTAGCAAACGGATATCTCGCCTGCGCCATACGTGATGCAGGTTGGCAAAAGCCAACCGAGCCTTCTGTATCCGAGCTGAGATTTCGAGATAAAATCGCTATAAGCCATCAGTGGAAAGGCTCTATTGAAGACTTCCGCTCATTCTGGAGCACTTGTTTAGACTCAGATAATGCTCTAGTGCGAGCGCGTATTTGTTTGCGACTTACCGGACGTAGGAAAGACACCGCAGAGAAACCTCTTAGGGTTCTACTTAATGATAATAAAGCTAACAATATATTTCAGGAACAGCTAGAAAAACAGTTAGTCGGCCAAGTGAGTGATGCCACTCCTGAGGCAGCTTGGAATCATATCAAAAAGGCTGTGAAAACTGCCGTGATATTTGATAGTAAGGTTAACCATAAGGCTAAGAAAAAGTCGTGGATCTCAGTAGCATCCACCGAACTGATGGACATTCGTAAACTCATCCCACCTGGCTCTGAACATGATTAGAAGCAAAGTCAGCTTAATCGCAGGCCGATAAAAAGCCTACGCAATGATCGCGAACAGTAGTGGGTAGCGAAAGCAAGGTAGATGGAAAAGGCAGCGGCGATGGGATACAATATACAACTTTTCCGCCTTATAAAGGAAACCGGTATTAGAAATCCATCTGTTGGCGAAACTATCTCAGAAAAGGATGGGCTTATGATTCGTTCTCAATCCAGGAGATTTGATCGATGAGCAGAACACTTTAGGGATCAGTTCAACTGGCCTCCAGACGCACTTCGGTTGCCCACGCTCTCCAGTCATCCTGAATGGCAAATCGACGTAATTTATCTGACTCTCTATGAAGTTGAGAAAGCTATAAGAAGTGTCAAGCGAGGGAGAGTAGCGGGTCCTGATGGGCTTACCCCTGATATTTTTTAGGATGATGGTTCGGTTTTACTTGGTGAAGACGCTAACAAAATGCATTGTCTCCTGACTACCCTAAGCAACAATATTCTGGATGCGGTTCCCACCTGAACTAGTGAAGTAATCGGGCGTGTTGACCGCTTCACTCATCTTTGGAGTTTCACCAGTGCTGATAGCCTGAAGAAATCTTGGAACGGATAGAGAAGGCACCACTTGCTTTTACCAACGGGCATCATTTACAACGTAGTCGAGATATCCGTCTGCTAACCAAAGGACGAGTGTACTGCGCAGTAGTTCGCTCCGTCCTACTTTATGGCTGGGAAACATGGTCAGTCAGAGTAGAAGATATTCGTAGGTTGTTTGTTTTCGATCATAGGTGTCTCCGAAGCATCGCCCATGTTTCATTCGACAACCGAGTAAGCGATGCTGTTGTTAGGGAATGGGTCTTAGGTATGGATGGCAGGTCAGTAGATGAAGTAGTGGAACTTCATCAGTTTAGGTCTTTGGAACATCTGTTACGAATGCCCAACCACCGGCTGCCTCGACGAGCTGTTTTGTGTTGTAGGAGTAGGTTGGAAGAAAGCTAGGGGTGACCAAACCAACACATGGCAGGAATCCGTGAAGTCAATGACACATGAACTAAGTCATTTTGTTAGGTGCAGGCTATCTGGTTTGGGTCCGAGAGACGAAAGGCGATGATGGTTAGAGACCTTTAACGACATGGCTCAAAATCGTTCACAATCGCGCAGGTGCATTCATTCATTGTGTTCTCTCGAATTCTAACTTTCTGAATTCCTCATCATCTCTTTCTAGTTATTTTAAAGAATTATACTTCTCGAATCACATCTTCGAACTCTAATCTTCTCTATTCAGTCAGTCAGTCAGTCAGATGCAACGTAGAACTTTGTACATAAGTACATCAGTTCATGTTGCCATACCACATCAGCACAGAGAAGTAATCGTCAATTCAAATCCAATAGTAGAAGAGACCACGCGAGACCAAATTGGTCAAAATCAAATCTTCTCTATTACCAGTAATACTTCTACTATCTGTAAAACCATTGGATTTGAACTGACTGTTGTATTTCTGTGCTAATGCGGTGTGGCAATCTGATATGTGCTTATGTATGAAATTCTACTTTTTAAAATGGCAGGTTAAAATGTAAATTATTGGGTACCAACACGACAAGTTGTCTTTCATGATTAGAATATCCGGTGTAACTACTTTCAATGTGCATGAGAAAATTTCACTAGTTGTACTTCATTTAAGCCTGCTAGCTTCTGAACAGCCATTTCTTAAATAAGCCATAATTATCAAAGATCGTACGTAATGTCTAAAAGTTTAAAATATGTGCTAACTAGTCATAATTGCGGATGGGCAGAAAAAAAACTAGGATATTATCTTTAATCCTCTAGTTTGTATTCTCGTAAACGAACTAATATGAATAAGGGTTCGGTATATCATTCTTTGGATAAGAATCGAAGAATGCACTGAGCCCACACATAAGTCACGCCTCACGTAATCCGCGCATTATATATAATAACCTTTTATTAGTTTGCTGTTAATAAAACTGTTATCACTACTATCATGTTTAAAATTGACTCTTTATCTTCAGATATTCTGAAGACGCACAAGAAGCTCTCTGTGACAGCCCAGTAATATATATACTTGATCGTCCTTCCAATGTTACCTCACTAGTTGATATTTCTAGTGATGGTGATACTCGTAAAGTGATTGCCAGCAAAAAGCGTCAAGAAGGAATGGAAGATGAAGATATTAGTGATCACCGAAACCCTGTATACAACATTCCTGGCAAAATGGAATCTACGTTTCCCGACTTTTTATCCAAGCCAACCCCGCTTGGTCCATCAGGTACTACAAGCCTGCTAGGTATGCCTGGAATGACATCTTCCGCCATGATGGCTGCTGCTGCAAAGGCGCTTGGTTTGAATGCTGTTCCTGGGGTGTTGCCACCTACGCAGTTAAATACAATCAATTCTCACAATCGCTTTGGATCTACTAACCTTCGAAACTATGAACACAATAGAAATGGATTCTCTCCTGGAGCATCCGACTCAGAAAAGGAATCAAAAGCTACGAGGACTCTGTTTGTCGGAAGTTTGGAACCAGATATAACCGAAAAAGAGGTACTCTCTGCGTTTGAGAGATATGGGTATGTTGAACAAATTGATATTAAGCGTTCTCCTAAACCCGGTGCACATTCCTACGCATTTGTGCGCTTCCAAAATGTTGATATGGCTAGTCGTGCGAAAATGTCCATGTCTGGTCGTTTCGTTAGATCTCTGCATTGCAAAATAGGCTATGGTAAAGCGATCCCATCTCAATGTTTGTACATTAGTGGATTGGAATCCTGGACTTCTACTGATTCACTGCAACGTATGTTGTTTCGTTTTGGGCAACTCACATATTTTGACTGGTCTCCTAGACGTAAATACGCCATCGCCATGTATGACAGCTGTGAATCAGCGCTTGAAGCTAATAGACAATTAAAATGTCTCTCAGCAAATAGTCGTCCAAACCTGAGACTTCGTGTAGACTTTATAAACCCGGAATTAATTCATCCAAAACCACAGACTTTAAGCAAGACGGAGTCTAACATGGAAGGTGACAATCAAAACAACCAAATGTCAGAGCCACGAAGCGCTCTGATTAGATCTGATACTGGAGTTCCTATAACCACAAATAACTGTCGTATTCGGCCAAATGAACATTTTGATGGAGGACCTTATACAATGAATCATTATGGCATAGACGATCCTGCGGGCGATAAGAATCTCCCTAGTGTACGACAATTACCTCATTTAAAGCCTTCTTTTCATATGTCTAATCGATATCACACAAATAATCGGAACATGCTTCGCTACTCAGACAACCACGGTATACTCACCCCAGTAGAAGATATTCCATCTAACCTGAAATCGATCGTCACTCTCCAGGAACTAGATCAATATCTGCAGCCGGATTTATGGAAAGGAAAGTTCTTATTAAAAAATGATCACTTCTACTTCCGTTGTTTGATGTTAATCGGAAATAAAGATATTTGTAAAGATTTACTAGATTATGGTGATGATAGCAGTAATTCCGATCGATTATGTAATCCAACTTTGCGTATTTCACGCCGCGGAACTCTTGATGCTTCATGGATGGCTGAAGCCACGCATCGTATTCACAATGTACTATCTACAGCTCGTCATAATTTATGCCTCATGCTAATATTACCCGATATGGAGCAAACCAATAAATGTCTACACAAAGAATCAAAACAAGATAATCAGTCGAATTCTGAAACTACAAATATAAAAACAACAACAACAACAAATCATTGTTTTTCATTGCATGCTTTAATTGCTTATTTAAAATTAAAACAATCAGCCGGTATAATTTATCCAAGTGCAGAGAAAATATCACAAGAATTATTGAATAATAGCTTAGACAAAACAACTACCATGCAACAATCATCTTTAATAGTATATTTATTTGCACCAAGTAGTTTTGCGTTAAGCTTATTAAAACAAGCAGCACCTTGTTTAAGTTCAGATCTAGCAACAACAAGTGATTATATGGTTCTTTTAACACTTAAACGGCAAGATAAAAAAACAAACCATTTAATATGAACAAGAAAATAATAAAAGAAAAAAACAACAACTTTGATTTCTCATTTCCTTTATTTTGTACAGATTTACGTGTATGAATGTATGTATGTAAGCATTTTTTTTATTTCGCTAGTTCATTTTTTTTAAATTTATTTATGTCGTTTTTAGTTCAGGAGTAAAAACAAATCCATTTTTTGTGAACAATGCTATTACTGTGTATATTTAAAGATTTTTGTAAAAACCGGGTGGGAAATAATACTTTTAGGTTGGTGGTAGAAAAAAAGCTTAGCGTCTATAGAGAAAAACAAATTTAAAAAAAAAAAGATCAGGGTTTTGACAAACATATACAGTCAGTCGTAGATGTAAACAACAGTTTACAAGACAAAATTTGTGATTACTGTTAAAAATTTTTGTTTGATATATTGTAAATATATATTAAAATGAAATTGTACAAGTAGAATTGTTTTATCATTGAATAAAACATCATAATCACAGTGTATGATGATAGTTAATAATAAATCAGTGAAATCAGTTGAAAAAAAAAATACATTTTGTAAATATTTCATTTATTAACATCAAATTATTATTATTAACGCCAAATTTTTATAACTCCATCCATTGAAGAAGAGACTAAAAATGCTTGACCTGCTTGAAGAACAGTTAAATCAGATATGATATTTTTATGACCTTTAGTTGATTCACGTAATTCTAAACGTCCGGACACAGGAAATGCACCAGTTAATGTCTCTGTTGTATTATTAGATGATTTTGATTTTTGTGATGTTTCTGTGTGTACAGTTTTTGTCAACAAACTTGGTATATCGTTGACAGATGGAGTGTCAGTTTGTTCAACTAGAATATAGACATCATTTACTTCCATTGACCTGTTTAGAATGACAACAACAAATGGGAAAGAAAATATAGCTATATGTAAACGTTTTTTTTCTTCAAAGGTTGATTATTTCCTTATCTTGGTTAGAGGTGGACAAAGCAAAACAATGGCATCAGTGCATAAAGTGATTGAGTATTGGTACACACTGTACTGGTACATGTAGACTACCTGAATGAGGTCTATGCAATAATCACGATCAGTGTGGTTGAAAATGTAGGGTGACATGCTACGAAATCTGTTACAATGGTTCAGATGCGCTAGTTCTTCATCTTACTCTAAATTTTAAGTCTCAGTAATCATTCATAGACATTTTCATTCATTCTGTTTTATTAGTGTTTCATCTTTCTCATTAAAATTGTAACAGCAATAACATGACTCATTTATTATTCACCTTGTTATGCCAGTGGGATATGATAATTTGGGCTAATTAATATTTATGCCAGGCTTTACATTGATTATATAACTACAGAATAACAGTTAAATAGTTTGTATCCCGATGCTTATGATAAAAATCCGAAATATCTGTTTCTCAAAAGTATTTAAACAGTCTACATTAAATTTGTGTAAACACTAGAAGCATTTCTAGGATGAATAGCGTGATACTCTCCGCAACTGTTTTGTGATAGATCGATCAAAGTTCATACGTACCAAACAATGATTTCAACTAATGTATCGAAAACTATTAGTTCATATTGCTAGATAAGCAGTAAAACAATGAAGAAAAGAAGCTCACAAGAGAAATGAATATTATGCATACGAAAAACCAGTGTTGTTTTTTGTTTAGCTACTAAAAATCACGTATCTAAGCATTAGTGTTTCACACTTGTAAGGATCATCTAAATAAATGTAACTCAACCAATTATGTGTTTGTCTTCAAGTAAACCATATAACATACTACCAAAGTCGGTCTTTGCAATACAATAAACGGAACCCTATGTCGTAACCAAGTTTCAGTAATTGTAATCCCAATTTTGAACTGTAGTGCTTAACAAATAGTATGAAAGGCAATACTTTCGAAATAAACGGAATTAGAATTGCACTTTTGACAGTGTATATTTATTTGATGAATTCAATTCGAAAACTTTTAGTTCTAGAATGGGGTTTAGTCCAACTCCAGACGAAATTAGAATCGATCAACAATGCTTTCATGTGAACAGATTTCCAAATTTTTTATATTCAGTTGCGTTGGTTAAAATTATTTAAAGGAGTACAGCATCTCACGTTGACTAGAAAGATACATTCAGTGTTGTTGGTAGGAAGTATCAACATTACTGTCTACATCGGCGTCTAAGATGTAAACTCATTTTAGGTTCATGTCATCGTGTCGCATTATAATTGTAACATGACAAAATCAATTTACCGGTAAGTATATCGAGGAGGGATAGCTTCTTCATCATTCCCAGCCCAAACTAAGATACATGAATCTTCTGGTTTTCGGAAATTCCAATAACGTAAACGAGCATCATTACCGCCAGCCACTATAGCTGGTAGATTAATAACTTGTGAATTGAGTTTGTTATATTCGTTAAACGGCAGAACATTTTTATTGTTAGGAAGGCACAAAATTGATCGAACTGATCGATGTGGTAAGGAACTATCAAGAATAAGAGGTGTTTTATTTCCTGGCTGAGCCCATGTCGAGGCTAAACATCCTGTACTGCGAACTGGTGCGAAGGGATCAGGAAGTCCATAATTACAAGATGAAACGGCTGCGGACGATGACGCTGTGGCTGAGGACTCCAAGTCCCAGATTGTCACCTCATTATGATGATCAGTTGCTGCAATAATCTATCAGATAAAATGTCCAAAGTTAGACTTAGAATTAATATAAACTATTACCAGTTAGTATAAACAAAACCAAATAACATCTTGGTAATAATGTTAATCACTAAATACTAAGCACACCATACTCTGAAATAGTAAAGTTTACAAAAAACTTAGAGTGTTCAATTCATACTAGTGCAGAACAACAAAAAATATTGACGGTGAATTGTGAAAAAAAATCAGGCAACTGTTGGAAAGGAAAGAAAGTAGTTTTAAATGAGGAAACATAAAACATGGAGATCTGTGCAGATAGGCATTTTCACTGTATTCAAAAATAACGACTACGGGGATTGCCTAGGCTGAGAATGATACCGGCTTTAGAACACCACTTTTCTATACATCTGATAGCATCCGTTTCCTAACAACAACATTGCTTACTCGGTTGTCCCATGATACATGAGCAATGCTTCGGAAACACCTATGATCGAAAACAAGCAACCTACGAATATCTACTCTGACTGGCTATGTTTCACAGCCATATAGTAAGACGGAGCGAACTACTGCGCAGTACACTCGTCCTTTAGTCAACAAACATCTTGGTAATAATGTTCATGACTAAATATCTCGTCTACGCCATAAGTGACGCAAGTTGGCAAAAGTCAATCGAGCTTTCTGTATCCGTGCTGAGATCCGCACTAATTAGACTCCCCAGATAAGTGAAGCGGTCAACACGCCCCACTACTTCACTCCCTATCACTAGTTCAGGTGCCGACGCAAACCAATCTTGGAGCAACATTCTGAATTTTGAGGGGGAGAACCGGATTGCTTGTATTGTTGCTTAGGAGTCAGGAGACACTGCATTTTATCAGCATCTTCACCGAATAGAACTATGTCGTCGGTATATTCTAAGTAAACAAGAATGGAGAGAGAGGACAACCCTGATGGACATCACCTGAAGTGATGAATTCCGGTGAGAGTTCGCTGTAAGCTCTCACTCGACCGGCAGTGTTCAAGTAGAGAACTGGTGTGAGGTTAATGTACTTCTGTGGTACCCCTTTTGATGACAGACACTGCGACAGAACCTCATGATCGACAAGATCATATGCTGCCTTAAGGTCCAGGAAGACAACAATTGTCGGACGTTTAAGTGTGTCTGTGTTCCAGGACCTGTCGTAGTGTGAAAATGTGGTCTATACAGCCACGATTATGATTCCAACTAGTGTTTCTATTCCGCATTTTTTTCATCCGTACGTCAGGAACAAATACCACTGAATTATCTTGGAATATATACTAGATGAAAATTTATGGAGCAGTTTCAAACAACCTGAGAACTTTATAATTAAAGGTAACCTACTTAGTGTGTTGTGCTCTATTCTAGCTATCGGGCGAACGAGCATGGAAGAAGCGGATTCTAGACTAATGATCATTAAGTATTACTCTCATCAGTTATCTCACTATCATCTTGTCATTGGTAGTAAATATAGACAATCTAAATGTAACAATGAATATAATTGCTCTTTCGTAATTATGGCCTGATCACACGAGTCCCAACACATTTTCAGTCAACTATTTCTTCCAGATATATCACGTAGATTAGAATTGTGCACTACACACCCTACCAAGTGACGATATCAATGCTTGAGTCCATAAACATTCTATAAATTAGCAGGATTTATTCACAACTGAAAAACAATAACTTATTTGTTTCGCTTAGAAGTCAGATAGATCAATAACTGCATACAACTTATAAAAACTTAAGAAAATATTTAACCCATGGATTCTGTCTGATATAAATTCGAGAAGTTAATGGCCTATCAAGTGAGATCTCAAGAAACATTTTGTAATGGTAAATTAATTTATTTAAAAGCATGAATTATTATGTAGCTGAAATAATCGAGAAAACAACATTGTAGAGTGTAGTACTAGTTATTACTAAAGCTTTTAAAATCAATAAAGGTATAGTTTCAATCACAACTTGATTAACAATATCTATTACCCGTCAGTACGACTGAATGAGAGACAGACATAGGTACTGAGAGTTCTTAACGAGGTGGAAAAGAGATAATTAATTTTAAAAGAGAGAAAACAATACAATTTAGTAAGTTCATTTCAGAGGTCTCGAACTACGATACAATATTATCACTTAGACCTTGTGGATATGACATAATTATATCTGAATGGTTCTGATTAAAAGTTTCGGATCTGAGAGTAAATTGGTCGGTTAAATTCTTAAACTACAAGAAAATCTAAAACAGATATACATGCCGACACCTAACTGCAGTCATATTACTTAGACTAAATGCAACGCTCTTGTTGACCAATAGGTCTCGTGTGAGTATTTTTTGTAATTTTGAAGAATGTACCATTTCTGTTTTATACCTACTGAAGGCTTAGTTTTAAAACAGGGCAAACAGTCATCTCAATTAGTCTATATCAAATGGTGTTTTAAAAGGCATCCAACTCTCCGCATTTTTGCACTGTTTCAACATAGATGTGCTTCTAGAAATGACACTTTCTACATTTCACTTTTCAGTATGATTGACCACGTATCTGTAGATGCAATCGTGAACAAAACCCAGAGTCCTGTAAATGTACCGAATTACATTTCGGGTACGTTCTTATTCATCGAAATGTATGGTGAACAGTAAGTCACTTTTAAAGACGTTTTTACAAAAAAATATGATGAACTTATAGTTTGTCTCAAAACTGGATCGTTGAAATTTTACCTTCTTGACATGGCAGTTTTCGAAAATAATTTGCACAGTGGATTTTTCAATGGAATACCAATATGACATAATACCATCAGTGCACAGATTTAAAATAACACGTTGCTAGTCAAATAATATACAGCCACTATATAACAATTAACATATGTTAATTCTTATCATATCATTGCCTCCACAATGCAAGATATCAAATGAAGTTTTTCAACTTACCAATGTTTGTCCTATTTGTTGTGGTTTTTTGAATGACTGAAGACGATTAAAACATGAATTCTTTATATCCAACTCAAGTCGAGAAGGCGTCTCAGCTATTTGTAAATCTAAAATACCTACACCTGGTTGGTATGGATGTTCTGTATAAGCTATTTGACGTTTATATCGTAAATCCCAACAAATAAGATGTCCACGACTAGTTCCTGTAACAAGCCATGTATGAAAACTATGCACAGCCATTGAAAGTATTAAACCTGAATAAAAAATGAGGCATATTTGTTAATTCATAAATGATACGTTAAAAAATTACAAGAAATCTAAAGTTACAAAAATATAATAATCAATGCACATTAACTTTCAACAATTAATTCTGACCAATAGTCGCTACTACGATGATACTACCAGAATTTTCTGTCTTATTTGTTTACATTTCTAATCCTACTTAATAACCAAGTAAAAAGTTGTGTAATAATCATACTCACAATATGATAGTTGATGATGAGTCTTTCATACGATAGATTAGAGAATAGACAAAACAGAATTAGAAAATTAGTATTTAATATCAGTACATTCTCTACACTATGTACTTTGAATTGTGAAATTTTCACTGTTTTCTCTACAGGTCATCAGTAAGATTCTCGAAAAGTATATATACTAACTGGGAAACTTATCTTAATTGCAACAGATATGGGAAAAAATAATCCCCTTATTACGTAGTGAAATAAAATGACTAATTTATCAGTGTACTTGCTTCAAGTTGACGTTAAACCAATGAAATCTGTAGCATATAAAGAGTGCACAGAAAACAGTTACTAAAAGACAATCTAGTACACGTACGTTCCAGGCACTAGACTGAGTTAAACAATGCCATTCTAATGTACAAACGTTGGTAATTAGATTTGGAACTAATGAAATAAACGAGAGTTGAATGTTTAAACTAGGAAACTGATATAGTTAGGCAGTAAAATTAGCACAATATAACATCTGATTAGTTTATAAAAATTAATGCTATTTCGCTCACCACCTACCAATGTTTGTCTTTAACTTTGAGGCTTTTTAATTTAAAAAATAAAGACTATTTCAATTTGCACTACAGTTTATTACTACTTACCATGACCTCTGTCTTGTTTTAAAATCCATACAGGTGAACTAGAATTTGGTACACGTAAATCACGTGCAACAATTTGATTACTAGTTGTAGCATAAACAATTAAATTAGTATCACTTCCAGTAGTCATAACTTGTTGAATTAAATTGTATCGAGAAGGAAATTGACAACAGGTTGATGTTTTTAAAGATACAGCACGACCAGAATTATTTACATCTAATTGAATCATACCATTCGATTGTCCAGTAGCTACATCAATTTGTTGTAAACATTTTCCATCAAGTATAGTAACCAAACATGAACCATTTAATGTCCATACAAGACCCTAATATTCAAATGAATTCAATGTAAATGATTAGATCTATTATGAATTCGAGGCAAAGAGACAATTTCAATAATAATAATAATAATCAATTTATGTTACATTGAGATTCAGTTGTCAGAAACTTCTAAGACTTGCTTACGGTGAATATTTTCATTGAATTGTTTTTTTGTTTCTGTTTTAAATGGTTTTAAAATTAATTTACATTGCAAATAAGGTTAATGTTTCACGCATTACATGATATAAAAAAATTATGATAAAGTTTTCAAACTCTATCAATTAAATTTTAAGAAAGGAATGTTTAGACTGATCATACTTTTGAAAATCGTTATATTATACTCAGCATATTCATATCTCTGTCAGTGTATCACGTAGATATAGATGTTTTATGTTGGGGATATTAGATTTCACGTGTTTTCGCGCATAAGCTGCTTAGCTGACCTTGAGATTACATTCCCCACTCGGAAAATCCCTCGCTGTTATTGGTTGATGTAGTATTTTAGTACGCTATTTTTTTGGTTCTCTCAAGGACATTTTTCTGTCATGTATAAATAAACTCGGTTCGTGTGCTTGTAAACTTCATATTTTCTGGGTGCTTGTAGAATACACTTTCTACGCCTTATCAAGACTTCTTGATATAGTTAGCCAGGCAGGGGACAATGGATTAGAATAGCCTATCGTGTCACTGCATCAATGGTCTGCACTCCGTTTACCGAGTAAGGTGAACTCGTAATAGTTTCAAGCATATCAGTTGACGAGCATATCATTTTAACTTATTAGCATGCTTTTAAGATGTATTAATTAGAAATCATGAACTAATTGAAAAGTGGGAAAATTCATTTAACTTCTACCTAGAGATTAGTTTTGATATAAACATTTGATCTGATGAATATGGCTTACATAGTGTCTAGAAATCATTAAGAAAATGATGAGATAAGCAATTAATTTATCAATAGTACAGAAAGTTGTGACGATTTTAGTTTACATCATACACTACTACTACTACCTTTAGTTATATCATCATTGAAAATTAAGAAGCACTGAGAAAAATGTCATCTAGTATGGATAACTGAAATGACGCATACCAACAACTGAAATTTGCGATCAAATTCATAACTTTCAATGTTTCATAATTGATAGTGAAATCAGAGTTTTGTTGTTTTCATCGTTTTTTCCTTAAAAAATCAATTGTAGAATGAGAAATCATTCATTAAACACACACACACACACAAACAAACAAAAATGCAGCACTACTTACTCGACATGCTTTAATCGATGAATCAGTGGGATCTTGTCCGTTACAATTAAACGTCCAAGAGGATCGTGTAGGTAAACAATAAGCTAAGCCAAGTTCTGAATTTTTGAAATTAGATGATTTTTGAACTAGTTCCGATGTTGCACTGTTAACACGACTAGAATGATTACCGGTAGTAGTTGGCTGATCTACATAACCATCAGATTCAGTAGGCCAAAATCCACAATTCCATAATTTCACTGTACCATCACCACTGGAACATGATGCAAATAGACGACCAGAACTATGTGTTGCTAAACTGTAAGAAGTATTAAAAAAGTGATGGAAATTTATAGTCAATTATTTCTAGAAGTTAATAATGATTGAAATGATAAGGATTATAAGAGTATGTTTTATAATTAATATGTAAGCAATAGATAAAAAGTGTCTAAAAATTGAATAGTACATGATAGTTTGATTCCGTAACTTTTCAACGCTACAAATTAGTGGGATATCATGTAATTGAACTAGCGGTTTTCAGACACATTAACCTTCCAACTATTAAACTCAACTTCAATGACCATTTTCAAAATCAGATAATTTATTGAGTAACAACACTAAACATATAGTATTGCAAGTGTTTCTCTTATCTCAGTCAGTCAGTCATTTGCGACACAGAACTTCGTACGTATGTACATAAGTTCAGGTTGCCATACCACATTATTAGCACAGAGACGCAAATGTCAAATCAAATCCCATAGTGATACAGATATGGAAGTATTATTTGTAATGAAGAAGACTACAGTTTGAACATTTTATTCAAGAAGTATAATTCAGCGAGATAAGGTTAGAAAGACAAAGGTAGAGGTGCTGAAGAATCCAGAAGATTAGGATTTGAGAGGGTACAATGAATGGATGCACCTGCGCCATTGCAAACGATTCTGAGCCATGTCATTCAAGGTCTCTAACCATCGGTGACTTTCGTTTCGCGCACCCCAACCAGGTAGTCTACATCTACCAACATGACTCAGTCCACTTGTCAGTGACTTCATGTATTTATGCCATGTTTTGGTTTGGCCACCCCTAACTTTCTTCTAATCTACTCCTAAAACACAAAACATTGCTGGACGAGGCAGTCGGTGGTTAGGCACACGTAACACATGTCTCAACCACTTCAACTGATGAAGTTTCACTACTTCATCTATTGATTTGCCATCCCTACCTAGAACTCGTTTCCTTCACGACAACATTGCTTACTCGGTTGTCTCACGATATACGAGTAATGCTTCTAAGACATCTATGATCGAATACTAGCAACCTACGAATATCTTCTGCTCTTAACGGCCATGTTTCGCATCCATATAGGAGAACGGAGCGAACTGCTGCGCAGTACACTCGTCCTTTGGTTAGCCAACGGATATCTCGCCTACGCCACAAACGACGTAAATTGACAAAAGCAAATCGAGCTTTCTGTATCCGAGCTGAGATTTCGTCAGTTACCAAGCCATCAGCGCTGATGAGACTCCCAAGATAAGTGAAGTGATCAACACGCTCGACTACTTCACTCTCTATCACTAGTTCAGGTACCGATGCAACCCAGTCTTGAAGCAACATTTTGCATTTCGAGGGTGAGAACCGCATCCCGAACATGCTTGCATTGTTGCTTAGGGTGGTCAGAAGACTCTGCATTTTGTCAGCGTCTTCACCGAATAGACCCCATGTCATCGGCATATTCTAGGTCAGTAAGCGATTTTCCTGGTAGAAGGTCAACCCCTGAAAAATCTGACGTGCTTAGTGTTAACTCTTATCTAAGAGCAATCGGTTTCTTTAGCAAAGCATAGAAGATTCATGGTTAGTGACAACATGTGAAAGTAATAATAAATTGTACTGAGAGTTCATATTTTAAGTAAACGTTACATATTATACTTAATACAAATGAAAGCAATCTCATTATAATTACCTAATCATTCCTGCACGATGTTCTTGTAGATTAGCTAACATTATACCTTGAGGACGTGATTCTGGCCAAATAGGCATTTCACTTTGTACTTCAAACATATTTCTAGGAGTTGATCGTATACCGAACAATGGATTAATCATTTCAATAAATAATGATGATGATGATGTTGATACTGCTTCACCATGTACTAATGTACCGATTGTGCCCATTTTTGTTGTCAAATTTGTACTGGAAGTATTTGTCGATGTATGTGATGAATTATCACTAACAGTGCTAAGTGATGCTGACGATGGAGATAAGATTAAACTACGCCCAACAATAATTTTTCTACTAGGATCAAATGAATCACTATGTAATGAAAGACGACCAGAAATTAGACGTTCCCATAAGAGATTTGCATAACGTTTCAATGGTGAATTTAGTAACCTATAAAATGATGTAAAATAAAACAAATATAGTCATAAGAATAATAAAGTCTGAAGCAAAAGGAATTGGAAACATTAATAGTGAGATACAAGCCCATTCAGACGATAGCTCTTAAATGTAGTAAAGTAAGATCTGAATTGATAGTAATATTAAGTCAACCTATTCATTATACACAATAACTAAAAAAAACTGATCAACTGCAGTTTATGACATAAACAACGGGAAGACTCGAACCTATACACATGACATAATAGCTCCATTGGTCACAGCTTCTTACTGAAACTTTGAAAATTTCCTCTTGAAGCTAGTCACTAGTGAGTATACAATAATACTTCCAAATTAAAAGTTATAGTAAATGATAAAAAATAATCATCGCTTTGACACCAAGCATTGAAAATTCATTGTGCACTATGAAACGATGCCAATTGATAAAGTTGCCAAATGTTAATTTTTGAATATATATAGCACTGTTTATATTTTGCATAAACACAGTAGTGGAAGATGGCATCTGTTTATAAAACTCACTTAGATCGGATAACAAACATGTTAACAATTTAGAATATAATACCAAAATCATTCTAAACAAAAGACTAACATTGAAAAACATCGAAATATCAAAGCAAAATTACAAACAGTTAATTACCATTGTAAATGAGAAGGATCTTCCAGAAAATCTTTAGGATTAATACATGAATTAATACTAGGTTTTGAACCTAAGTTGTAAAAAGAAAATTGAAAAATATCACTGTTATGAATAATTGTCCAGTGAGAAAATAAAACATAAATATATCAAGAAACTTATCGGTAGATTATCACTTACATATAATTAATAAACAACTATGGATTAATATGTTTTGTGTGTCAGTAAGTACTCATCAGCCAAGTCTATCAATAATTTCTCCCGCCACATGAATAGAAAGTCAATTTATACTATAAAAGTATTCAAGGATAGTATTTTTCGAATTTTCGATTAGTTATCAAATCATCGCAAGAAACTAACAAAACGATCATCAATCAGAACTAGATTGATAAACTCTTTCAAGATCAGTGTGTAACACATACACGTATATTCCGCCTCATTGTCTATATTATAAACAACAATGAGTCTAAAGATAAAACCAGACATACTGTAAATAGTTGTCAAATCAAACATTACATATATATGTTTAAACAAACATCAGTGTCTGTAGTATCGCCATCTTAATGTATACGGATGAAACATGAGTTTGAGAGAGAGAGAGTTCTCAGATATTCAATCAATCAACGTAAGTACATCAGTTCAGGTTCCCATACCACATTAGCACAGACGCGTTTGCCAATTCAAATCCTATAGTAGTAGAGGTAGTAAAGGTATTAGCAGTAATCGCAGAGATCAGGGTTCGACGATATTATTCAAGAAGCAGAATTTGGTGAAATAAACTTAAAATAAAAAGAACAAGGTGATCAGGAACTCCGCAGGTTAGAGCGAACACAAACAATTAATGCACCTGCGCCATTGCAAACGATTTCGAGCCATGTCATTCAGGGTCTCTAACCGTTGATTACTATCATCTCGCGGGCCCCAATCAGGTAGTCAACACCTACCACAACATGACTCAGTACAGTTGCCATTGACTTCATGGATTTGTGCCATGTTTTGGTCTGGTCAGATATTAGGCACGGATTAAGTATTAGATCAACAAATAGATTCAAACAATAAGGAAAGTGGTCAATGACCACATTATTGAAGATGAAAGATAATCTAAATATACGTCAGCAGTTACGCTGTAACTATTATAATTAACGGTTAACCATAAACTTGGTCAACTGGAAAACTAGACAATTTAGCAGATAGTATAAAAATTCTAAGATTCCAATCACTTTAATTTTGTGTCAACAATTTGAACGAACATTACATAGTATAAATTAGACGACTAAATTAACCTGTAAGCAAATCTTCAATAGATAAACAAACTGATTCAATAGAAATCATGTTCATTGCAGCCTATCAACTTAGTACTTGACGATATGATATTTTAATGTTAGGATATTCATTCAATATTCTAAGAGAATTATTGGTCAATTCCTATTGGTTAATTCCTAATGGTCAATTTTACGGTCGTCTTAGATATCAATGTCACGTGCTCCAATGTTGTTTCTTATTGGTTGTCCTGACTATCAATGTCACTTCAAATGTTACTTCCTATTGGTCGTCTTAACTGTCAATGTCACAAACTTCGATGCCGTTCTCATTCGACCAAAATGTATAAATACGCGTTATCTGTAACGTTCTATGACCCGGACCCGGATCCCTAGTCCGGGATCCTGATTCTCTTCTGGATTCGGACCTCTTGCTTCTGGATGCTTGTAGAATACACGTTCCACTTCATATCAAGTCTTCTTATTTTTTTCTCAATATGGGGGTTGGGATAACCGGATTTGAGTAGCATGTCGTGTAGCCGGATCCTCGCTCTCGTTTCCCGACTAGGTAAACTCGTAACAGTTCAAGTATATCAAGATGACGTATTTACGTGCAGGCATAACATTTAAGTGATGGCTATTTGGTTCTAATGCTATGAATCAATTTCAAATAGAATGAAATGTAGTTTAAATATTACTGTTAGTCATTAATTAGTATGATAACACATTCAGCATATCCATTCATCTTAAACAGTATCAAATAAAAGTGTTCACGTGATCAAGTGATGAAAGTCAAAATTTCACTGATTAATAAATAATATATTTATAATGAAGAGAAAGAAACCTACTCAGAAATATTTTATCACAATTTTCAATAGGATAAATTTTATATTTTGGAACAGTACGATTCATTTTTGAATTAGTTGATGATTGAAAAACATTTTGTGGACGACCATTTTGACATAAATTTATAATGTAACTAGATAAATTTACCAATTGTGATTCCATTAATTCTGTTAGACCGAGTGATTTGAGTTTTATAATTATTGAATCAATGAATTCATCCTGTAAAGACAAAAAAAGCAGTAATATAAAAAGACAGAAAATATATATATATATATATGAACTAATGCTAAATAACTATTTAAAGTGATTTATCGCCGGAGACGGAAATCTGTGAGGTAAGGTGAGATGTGACATTTTTAGGCTTAACCTTTTCTAACTACTTTCTTACTTGTGAGAAGGCAGCATCACTGCAGATGCTGGTTGTCCAAAGGAAACACCTTACTGCTGTCACACCCCTCTACAGTCAGCAGTACGACTTCGCCTTCAGACCTTGAGTAGCTGCTTTTAGTCTCATCGTTCTCAAATCGACCTGCCTGGCATGGTAGAACATACAGCAACATATGATCCAGCCAATAAAGCTTGGCTGGGTCATCACGATAGGCGCGCCCGACCACCAAGTCAAGGTAGCAGCTACGGTCGGGGTGTAAATATTATAAGTTTACATCAATAATTTAGAATACTACATCGTAAACAACCTGGAGCTACACTGTAGGCTTAGAAATTGTTAGGGACGGAACTGCTTTGTGAATACTAACAAGTAGTCTAAAGTAATACACACAAAAAATGGAATAGAAAAAGAATGTAAATGAGCTTAACAACAACTAATGCCAAGTTTTTTTTAACTAGTAGCTATACTTCAGCTAAATTAATAGAATTCTAACGAAACTAGAGACAAGAAGACAAAAATTATATTTGTTGCTGTTCAGTGATTAATCAGTATTTATACTGGCAGTTTGATTTATCAGAATAATATCGACTAGAACAAGATTGAGAGATGTGATTTTAGAATTGGTAACACTCGTGCATTTGTAAATATTGTTGAGAAGCCTAGGAATTTTCCATTGGAAATGTCTATAGAGGCCCAAAAAATGCCAGGAAGCGTTTTATCCAGTCAGCTTTGAATAGAGCTTTCACAGGAAAATCTATAAAATGCTGAATCACGTGTCACGATTCTGATTGGATATATGGCTGTACCGCTACTATATTTAGCATGGATCTTGAACGTTCCATAGGTACGAGGTCAGCAGCAACTCTATAAATACCCTCATTTTTTGTACATAAGCTAACTTTGGTGTAAAGCGATCATCTCTTCACGCATTTTCTCTGGTGTTGAAATTGTAGCGTAGATTCCAGTCTGAGGTATTCAGAAGGAGATGAGAAATCAGATTTTGCGTTAATTTAGCAAACTTATCAAATATGTATTCAAGATATTTTTTGAGAAATCTAAATTATAACCGCATAATTGAACATTAAACATCTAATACACACACGTAGGTGAGTACGTGTACATTAATTTATACTGACTATTGTCAAATGAGGTGTACAAATCCTTTCTTTTAAAGTTGATGAGAACAACAACTATTGATAAATGAGTATTAAAGTAACCATTGGAATAGTAGAATATTTTGTAAGTGAATCTAAAGAATTACATTTTTAATTGTTAAAAAAATAAGAATAAGTAGAATATTTTCAATTAGAGTTATGGAGATTAGTGTTTTTTTTTACACATTTGAAATCATCAATCAATCATTGTTAGACCACCATTAGAAACCTGGAAGCACTGAAAGACAGCCGTTTCGTCCTGGTATCGGACCCACCAGCAGTGTACACCCACGAATCCTGTGCCTCGCAGGATTCGAACCCGGGACCTTCGGTTTTGTGAGAGAACGCCTAACCTCTAGGCCACTGGGCCTGCATCCAACGGTGTTAATATCTAACTCTGATTGATCTAGGGATTTTGCGCGACCTCACCCATTTGCCTTTGGTAGTTACTGCCTACACCCGACAAGGTTGAACTCCACTGGTCACGTCTTCTCACTAGAACTCCGAGAATTTCCTCACGAAGCTAGTCACTAGTGAGCACATATTACGATATTTTCAATTAGAGTTATGGAGATTAGTGTTTTTACACATTTGAAATCATCAATCAATCATTGTTAGACCACCATTAGAAACCTGGTATGGATCCCATACCAGGACGAAGCGGCCGCCCAGTGCTTCCAGGTTTTTAATGGTGGTTTAACAATGACTGATTGATGATTTTAAATGTGTAAGAAATAAGTAGAATGTTAACGGCAGTGTAATCAGAAACGAAATAAACCTACATCATCTAGAAAAATTGAAAATGACAAAGTGAACTACACTTCAAAGGTAAAAGTTTGACATAAAGTAATAAATAATTCTGTCAACTTGAAAGATAAACTTGTCAAGAGGAAAAAAACACTCAAACATAGAGTCGATTAATTTGGAAAGATCACAGTTTATTGATTCGAAATCTAAATTCAACAAAATCTAACTTGTAATAACAAGAATTTATACATGAAATCTAACAGTTATAGAGAGTGAATAGGAAATATGAAACATGACTAGTTACAATTCGATAAAACCAGTTTGTATATTTTTAATAAGTACTTTATCAAATAATTGATTAGTAGTATTTGTCATGTATTGCATAAAATTACTATCAATAAGCTGTGAACCCGTTATTCAACTTTACATCGAAAAAAAATGTCATGATCATATGCCTATTTTAATTGATTAATTGCGATATGTTGTGGTCTGATATTTTAATTGCATAATCACATGAGTCACGAGTTTAAATAATTCAAGTATAAGTGAACCACCTTATCTGACTTGTTACACATATTATTGGAAGTTTAGGAAATGTTGGTATTTATGTTTACCTATTTATCTACATGACACAATAACAGAGTAAATGAATTTAGTATTGACGATATGGTAGGTGAGATCATAAAACAAACAATACATGTTGTTTTACACGTAAATCACTTCATTTATACACTTTTTTCTCACACAATAAACACTGTGATTTATTTTGATCCAGAAATGTACCATGTCTTCTACCAAATTATTTAAGTTTTATTGTTTAAACAAAAATCTCTTATGAAATACTGGAAATTGCCAGTTGAGATGGATGGTTTTACTGGTACTGTGTTCTCTGAGCTAGATAACCTAAGTGTGAAGCCTTCATTGTCGTTGTCGACTAGGTCACCACCATAAAAAAGTAGGCACTGATGATACGGAACAAAAGGTCGATGAAAGCTCAATAAGTAAAGCATTTAGCTCAGAGGATAGACCGTTGGAAATCTACAATGTTCTGACATAGTTTATACAGGTAAGTGCTAAAAACGTAGTGATTACGGTAAAAAAAAATATGCTTTAGGAATGAGCACATTAGGATGGAGAACGTGAATCTTAGGTTCAAATATCATGTATAACAAACAGGGGATGGGATACGTGTCCGTCAATTGGTAGCACATCTGCTTCTTGATGTAGAATATGCTTTTGATATCTGTTATTTTTGCAATTATTTTGTGAACGAATGTTACATTTCAACTTAAAACTTTTATCTTACTGTCATGTTCACAGAAAGCACATATGCATGGCTCTGTTTGGTTAAGGTCCCTAGGGAAAATTAAACTTTTTTATGTAGCATTGAAACACTAAATGAACAGATAAATGTTCGGAAAAGCCAGATATCGCACTTTTATTGAACATCGAAAAAGGTTAGTTATCTTTACAAACGAACAGTAGAAATGATTTTGTATGCTGCTCAAAATGTCAGAAATGATAAGGGAAAATTACTTATTGAAACCAGAGAATAAAAATAATAGTGTTAAACTTATCATACGCTTAATTCTATCTCTGAAGATTATATATAACAGGCAATTAGACACTAACCTTCTATCTTAACCTTCAACCCTTAATTCTGAAAGAAACCTAAACCTGGTGACACATTTTATGGGCAAACTATTTTTTTTATTTAGAAACATGGTTATTGGTACAAAGTGGTACCTAAAAATACATGCGTCACACAAATCACTGAATTTGTGAGTGGGCTAAGAAACTGTTCGGGTGCCCAAACCAAATTAGATGATCTTTTTAGAGAGCTGAAAGCCGAAACTTTGACCTATAGGTCTAATCCACAAGGCAGTAAAGAAACCTTAGAAGTTACAGTCCGATGGTAGCCGGTGACCAACAATAGGTTTATACATCATTTGTTTCCCCAGGATCCTAGAGCTCGCATGTACTATTGGTTTGGAATCAGAGTTTCCTGATTTCCCTAAGTGGATTCTCCGTACCCACCAAGCCTGTTTAAGCGTTGGATAGTCACTTTCCATCCTCTCAATTTCGTAACCAACATCCTTGGAGCGGGTACGCTATGGCAGTGGCTATACGCGCTTGGCCATGTGAGAGTACATTGAAAGAGAGAGAGCAAACTCTCGATTGTATCAGCGGATTTGGGGGTTTTGAGTGAAATTAATTTATCTATATAGTTACAGAGCATTTATGCATTATAGTTGATGTCAATTCGTGATAAAAAAAACCCAACTAATTTTAAAAGTTTATTGAGATCGTTTTAAGGGTTCGAGAATGCTGGAAGTTTATATTCATTACGACGAGTTTATGTCGTTGTCTTTTTACGACTTACAGACAGAGAAACTTGAAAAATATATGAATGGATTTACTAACTGAGTAAAATCCGTTTACCCTATTTACTATTAATGATTACTTTTTAAAAAAATATCCATTTGTAAAAGCTGTATTTCTGATTGTATATAAATTAGTTGGAAATTCGTCGTGGCTATTTTAAGATCGTTTCTATACTGTATTATTACAAAAATTATCTTTTAGGAGATCCTTTCCTCAATTCGACTAAATACGATGAATTCTATCAAATAGTCACATATCAGATGATTAAACATATTTGGTTTAGTCTGAAAACAACAATCTACTAAACAGAATGACGGACATGATGTTGGCGACGTTAGATCTCCAAAACTCACTTGATAAATGCCTTAATTTAGGATTTTATTCATTGGCTGATCAGTTGACCTGGAGGTCACATTTCCCACCGGGAAAAGCCTTGGCTGTGATTGGTTGATGTGTTATTTTTGTACATTATTTGTGTGACTATCCCAAGGAAATTTCTATGATGTATAAATAAACGCGATTTGTATTCTTGAGTTGATTGCATTTATTGGGTGTTTGTAGAATACACTCTCTACGCTATATCAAGACTTTTTCTTCAGTTAGTTGGAGTAATGGATCAGAGTAGCCTACCGTGTCACTGGTTCATTGTCTTGTTCTCGTTTATCGACTAAGGTGAACTCGTAATAGTTTCAAACATATTAAGTGACGAGCATAACATATATACATTGTATAATATATAGATTTTTGAATTCATTTTAATTTCTATTATACTTACTATTTAATTCATATAGAACGACTGGATTTTATTTTAACATAATCATGATATCATGATGAATACAAAAGATACGAAAATAAAATTCTATCTAATCAATGTAACTGTAATCAATGTTTATATGAGCCTAAAGATGTAAACAAATATACTATGACAATATATAATGAATACTAAGAGAAGGAATTTGATGATGATTGATAGTTTAGTTACCGCCTTACAAATAAGTACCAATAGTATACATACTTTTCAACTGGTTAGCTTGTAATAGTTAATTGGAACGAAGTAGGAATTACGAATGCAAGTGATTTTCTTACTTGTGAATTTTATTCACTGGGAATTCATGTTAGAATATATAAACTATAATCACGTTAGAGAGTTAGGAAACTTTTAGTGATACAATAGAGTACTTTAACATCGAATAAATTTTAACACAGATTTCTGATGCAATCTACACTCTAAGCCTCTGAAACTATATTCAAAGGAGAGGATTAATGAGAGATAAACTACTATAGTTAGAAAGTTGTTATTAGACAATCGGTGTTACCCATAATAGTTTAATAGTAAACTATGCGCAATCAAGGATGAAGAGGAGAAAAAGTGTGCTAAAATCAAGAAAAAATCAATCTTTCTACGAATTAGCATTAAAAATAATGAAACAGTTGATGAAATTAATTTGAGACAAAGTGTTAAGTTAAAAAAGAACAAATCTAGCCGTTGAACTTTCTTTGATTCAAACAAAATGTTTATTGAGATTAATAAAAATAGATAAATTACCATTTCATGTTACCTTGAATTGTATTTACTATTTAGCAAATACATTTTAAAGCAATTAGATTAAGAGAACAGAAGGAAGGGTTATTCTGTGCGTCACAGAGCATTATTCCTTTCATATTAATTGAGACTATAAAATTGATGTGTTTACAGCAGAGTGATTTCCTGTCATCCTCCTAATAGTGCATAGGATGTTGATGTCTTAAAATCATTCAAAATAGTTAACATTCATGTAACTTGGAATTTATTGTTTCTATGAAGCTATTGTTATCAAAAATATGAAACTTAACCTATGCATGTAGAAGAATAGAGCTGTATGTTTCGCAATAACTATCATTTAATATTTTATTTTATGATTTCAATAATAAATTCCTTTTCTGAATTGTGCTTAATTCATTTTGTCCACTTAACTGGAAGAATATTATTTTCTCCATATTTATTACTGTTAATTTTAATAATTTACATTAAATAAGATAAAGGTAATTGTTCAGTGTGAGAAAATTTTCTTTTTGATAATTTCATTTACTTAAACTGTAACAATTGCATTTAGAGTTAATTCAACTAAAATAATAGTTTATAGTAAAATCGAATGGTGTGAAATAATAATACAGTAAACTTGAAATTGTATTACGTCACCAAATAATAATAATAACAATAATAATAATAATAATCGGTTAATGAAAAGTGCTAAAGTAAGGATAATTGTCCACATGATATCTCTCAAATATAGAATAAACTTTGATCGATTCATGATTTCAAATATGTAACTTAACAAACTTCAGAACTCCGTAATGCAATTACCTGCCCTCACTAGTGGCTAGTTCCGTGAGGAATCTTCTCCGAGTTCTAGTGGGAAGTCGTGACCAGTGAAGTTCAACTTGTCCGGGTGTAGACAGTAACTACCGAGGACAGTGTATGAGGTTGCGCAACTTCATGAATTGATCGAATTTAAACATTAACACTGTTAGATACCGGCTCAGTGGACCAGGGGTTAGGCGTTCGCGCGCAAGACCAAAGGTCCTGGGTTCGAATACGGCGAGGTACAGGAGTCGTGGATGCGCACTGCTGATGAGTCCGATACCAGGACGAAACGACCGTTCAGTAATTAACAGTTACAAAATAATCTCCATTAATATTTTATACATATGTATATATGACTAAAATTTCTAGATTGTAAACAATTGAAAAGAATTCACGAAATTCACACTATACGGTGTTCATGCTTTGTTTAAAGTTATCAATGCGACAAAACTATAAGAAATATCTATAATAAAATGCCTAATGCAATAAGTAAATTCATGTTGGTAGAAATTGCGAGATTGAAAAGACACATATCTTATAGGGATGTTGATAAATACCATACTAAAGTCCAGAGTTGAGATGATAGGAAATTAGGAGTTGCAGATGCACAGAGAAATAGCTCAACATAGATCACAATATTAAACTGAATTTATCAATCGTTGAAATTTTAGCACACTATTTCTAATTAATTGTACACTTCTTCTCTAATTTAATATACATTGTAATCATTTTGTCTTATATTGGAAAAGGAGAGAATACAATATGTTTGTGCATAAATAAAAAGGCCAGTGACAAAAGAAATATATACAGAAAAATACAGTAAGTAAAGGCTTACATTAGGTGATGTATAACATGGCAATTCACCACTACGTGTTATAGCACGTGAAGATTTTCTTTCTTGAAATAATTTCAATATTTGATTTAATTTATCTAAACGAGATAATTGACAATGATTAACTGTGGATTCTTGCATAGAATTTGATGAATTTGGCATAAATACTAAAGCTTCTAAAACTGTTCGATTAATTGGTGGATGTAAACTATGCAAAAGAACTGCATCATTTGTAAAACAAAAGTTTACAGGTCGTCTAAATTGGATTGCAGAAAATAAAAAGATAAACACGAAGTGAAAAAATGCGGAAATAAATATATACTACATATGGTTGCAAAAACATAGGATTTATCTAAAACACAAACAATTATTCTGAATTGGAGCTGATGAATTCTGTTCATCGTTTATTAAATAAAAAATAAGTAGAGAATGTGTGTGTGTGTGGGTTAGCAAATCACTCAAATTCATGAATCAACTGTGATCATTTTCTTTAATATTAAAGAAAATTATCGAAATAAACTACTATGAACGTTACAGGTTAAAACAATGGTATAATCAGACTACACGTTAATGAGTTATTTACGTTCTAATTAATATATTAGTGCATTCTGATGTATAGAGCCCAATTCGATTCAAACACAAACTGAACATAGTTGTGGTGTAACTGAATAACGGTTGATATTAGCATATATATATAAATATATATATATATATATATATATATATATATATATATATATATATAAATATATATGATTTCCAACTAAGCCTTTAAAACAGTGGAGTTATTATTTAAGCCTATACGATTCTAAACAATGAAGATACATTTGAACTCCACTCTACTTAATTAATTTGATTAATTAGGTATCATTAATAAACTGTATATAAAATAAGTGACTCAAATGGAAGCATACAAACGAGTAGCCTTGATGAATTAAACTAAAAGTGGAGAAGACAATAATTTGATACATATCAGTTTGATAATTCAGTTTTATAGTTTACATTATAGAATGATCTTAGTTAGACAACTCTTAAAAACTAGAAAGCATTTGACAGCTGTTTTGTTTTAGCATGAGACCACATAGTAGTGTCTAACCACAAGGAATTTCAAGGTTTTGCAGAGAGAGTTTAACTCTTAAACTAAGTTAAAATTACAAATGGTAACGGGATAAAAAAACAAAAGTTTCATTAATAGAAGAGAAACGATGGAGTTTAGCTACCATATATCAATCAATAGAAAAACTCATTCACCAATTATTTGAGTATGATCTACATTATAAGTGGCATGGCTGACAATGTTACCAGGTTGCCTAAACGGAAGTAGGTGGAGTACGGTTTGAATATAGGGTCTGGTGATTGAAAGTCGAACACCTTAACCATTAAGTCGCTGCTACACACCAATTTTTATGGAGTATGCTTGTTATCAAACATAAACTATAACAACCAAGTCTCCATTATTAATATATCTTTGTGTTACCAAAACAAATTCCTACAAATACATTGCTGGCTATATTTGTGTCTATAAACAAGTCCAATACCAAAAAATCCACTCATGAGGATTTTTTGGAAAGAAGTACATAATAAAGGAATACTAAATCATAGATTAAAGTGGAATTATGATGATGAGTTTAAGTGACAGCTTATTGCAAGCCACTGCCAAATTGTAAACAACTCAATGACAATTATTGATATCTAGCTCTATACACTATGTATGAATCACAAACTGGTATATAGAAAAAAAGCTGGTCAGTTGTATTAACACTTACATTACCAGATTCGACAGTGGGTAGAGTTTGCCAACAACTTGGACAAAGAAAGAGATATCTTCTAAGTTGATATGACCCTTCTACACATCAAACGCAAATACTAAGTTGACTGTAACCAGGACATTAACATCGCTCAATATGGCTTAAATGAATAATCCATAATTTTGCAGACTAATTCTATATCCTCAATTGACCAGTTTAACTTTCTTTGAACTAATCTTATGCACCCGTCAGCATCGCATATCGAAAAGGATGGTAGTTAAGCATGTGCTACAAAAGTTCTAATCTAATAAATCAGTTAAGATTTTCAGCCTTATCCTAATCATTTATTATTTCTACTTAGTATTCTGGACGTAAACTCAGTGTTGCTTACCTAGTGTTAGAAATGCTTTGAAGACACTTAAGTGAACAAATATCTATCAGTACTTAATTATTTTAAATGGCTAACTGATTGGTAAGAAGCTTCTTGTGAGAGCTCCATTTATATGAATAAAAGAAAATTCGGAAAGGTTTAACTGATAAGTATTAACATGATATTAATAAGAAATGTTAAAGATTACGGAATAATTTATCCTAAATAAGTATTATATCTTTGGACATGAAGACTTACCGAAAAATTGTCTGCTTCACTTCACTATTAACTAAACGAGCATAAACACTAGCAGGACTACAAATACCTGGCCAAAAATGATGTACCATAGGCACACTGTCTTCATCTTCAGTTAGAGTACGTGATTGTGTCTTTTCGGCAAAGTTAACAGCTAGTCGAGCAAACGATGTAATATAAGCCACAGATCCTTGACGAATTCTTAAACATGGATGTGCGGTTAATGCTAAAGACTGAGTTAAGAATGAAACTGCTATAGGTGCACTAAGTAATTTTCTACGTAGAAGATTAGTTAAGCAATGTAAACATTCTTCAATAACCATATCATCAGGATCTATTAGACCTTGTTCAAGTAATGATCGAAGAATGGTAACAAATTGTGCTCCAGTCAATGAAGCCAAAGGTGAAACTTGACGAAAAAATGCAGCTCGTAATTCAGGTTTACACTGTGAAAATAGACAAAGATAGCAAATAGCAGAATGAGGAAACATTTTATCATTACAAATTAGCACTAAACAAAGGAAATAATAAGATATATAAAAACAAAAAAGTAAATTAGTCTACAGAAAAACCATTATTCAAATTGATTTTTAAAATTCTGTATCCAGAGTAAGGTGCTTTACTACCTAACTTTCAACAAATCTCAAAAACACAGCCAAATTAGCAATATCCCAGAGCGGGGACACGAGATACAGACTTGTAATTTAATTGGTAGAGCAATTGGCGATTATGATTTAATTCTTGAATAACATCGAAAGCTTGGAAAGTTAAATTATTAAAATTGAAACCAGAGAAAATGCTTAGTCAGTTTATGTGCTTATGTGGAACAGGTTATATCGGCCGTAAAAAGAATGAACTTGATACACCGATATTTGAGCACTACCTTACATGGTTGTCTAAAGAGGAATAAAAATTGATCAACAGCTCAATACTTGAACATATGGACAATTCTAACGAGAAGACATTACTAAAATCATTGTTCAAGATCATCTACAAATTTAAAACAAGTGATTCGAAGAAGGTTTGGATGCAGCGATTATTCATGGTTTAGACTAGAGTTATTCAGTAGTTTAAATCAGATCTCTATGTACAACTAAATTATGTTCAATGATTCATTTTTTCATGTTCTTATCGCCTTTCCTAATCACAAGTGTGAATTATTAACTTATTTGTTACCTTTGTCCGCTTTTTTTTAATGTAGACAATTGCCTTTTATATTTATTGTATGAAGTATTTCGAAAACTATTACAAAACTTTATTTATTGATAAACATTGGTCGCCTTATCAAAATAATGTTACACTATTTCACTCTCATATTTTGATACGTGAATAAATTTGACTATCTTTGTTGATTTTGTAGTAATCGATTATTTTACTATAAATTACTAAATACGATTGTTTGACTTATGGAAATGATATTGACTAAAGGAAACATCTTTTCCGCCACAATGTGTATTAACCTAAACATCTTCGTAAAAATAAATAAAAGTAATGCGTTATACTGAAAGAAAAATTAATCATTTTACTAGTAATTTCCTACTAATCTTACAACTATAGACTTAATCCTAGCTACTTTGTTCAAATGATCAGTAGATGAATCTTTTATCAACAGCATTTATTTATGATCATGGTAAATGAAAAAATGTAGAATATGATTTTAGTAATACAAAGACACAATGCTATAAAATTCAATTTTTACGAACGACTTAACATGAGTAAGAAAAAGAAAGTATAGAAGCATTACATATCAAAAAGGTATAGAGTTCCAGAATTATTAGGCAGTAAAGAATAGAATTATTTGTGAAAAACTCCGCTTGGAGCTCTTCCAAAGTTATTAACAAACAAAAGTTTGGATAAAGGAAAGGGGTTAGGCATATGAGTCAGGAACTCCATCCTGTAAAAAACAAACTTGCTACGTAATCACTAACAGAAAAACCATTTAAAATCCATCATGGGAGTTGAAGGGTCTTCATTTAGAAATTTTATGACGCTTCGTAGTGAAACCTGAGTTTCTTCGGCAGTCATGAGACCGATGTCCCTTTTCACATAGGTAAATGGAATGACCGCAAACTGTGAAAGACCAAGAAGATCATCTAAGTTGCTGAGGAAACGACACAACCTGGTAATGCTTAGAATAAGTGAAACCCACCATAAAAAAAGGTTAGAAAAGATTAGCTCCGAGAGAACAACTGTGTTCGGGTCATGAAGAAAGATTGCTTAATCTTACTATTTCTCTTTCTCCTGGTCGTTCGCTGGATTATGAAAACAATTGTAGTCAGTGCAGTAGTAAGTTTCAACATAATGCTATTATGAAAGGTGCCGAGATCCAAAGACAAGAAGTTCTAACCCCTACTAAACTTGCTGCTTAAGCGAGAAACCAGAGATTGGAAGGGGTCTATTTGACTAGCGAATAATAGTAAGAACAAATGCGTCTACATATTTGTATTCACTTCCTTGGAAAAAAGCCATTTCCCAACCAATCATTTAAATTCACCCTCTGGGGTACTTTCTGATAGTCATCCAGTGGTCTTCACATTAGATCGCTTTAATTTGTTCGGTATATCACATACATAAGGGGAAAAAACGAAATTCTCCAATACAACACTACATGCATCAACCAAATCACACGTGATAGGGAAGCGTTGTAAGATGTGGAAACTTTTACATATCTGGGCAATATCAGTGATGGACAAGGCGGATCTGATGCAGATGTACAGGCACGGATTAGAAAAGCAAGAGCAGTATTTCTAGAGGTGAAGGACATCTGCAACTCAAAACGACTCTCAACCAACACGAAAGTCAGAATACCAACATCAAGACAATTCTGTCGTTTGGAGCAGATACTTGGAAAACTACGAATGCCATCATTCAAAAGCTAGAGGCGTTAATTAACAGTTGTTTATACAAGATACTTCGGATCTGTTAACCAGACACCGTCAGTAATAGCCTACGGTGAAAGAGAACAAGTCAGTTTTCGGCTGGGAAACGAATTAGGTGGACAGGATACAAATTGTAGAGATCATCTAACTGCGTAATGAGGTAAGCTCTAACACTTGGCAATAATTGGAAAAGACAGCTCGTAACAGAGTGCGACTTTGTTATTGATATACATAAGCTTGCAATTTTAGAAGCTCAAATGAAAAATTCATTAGCCATGTTTCATGTGAAACACTTGACATATGTTTGATGTTCTTGATCAGTACGGATGAATAGTAACTCTGTGGACTTAAAACATTGAATTGTTTTAGACTATAAAACTTTACTACCTACAACACTTAAACTGACAATGGAATGATAGCTAGTCAAAAAGTCTACTTTATAAACAATAACGCAAATCTGCAACATTTATAATATTTGAGCTATAACAAACAAGTATTGTATTGAATATATATACATACATAAATTAAGAAGAAATGAACAAAGATCATAATACTAAAACTTACTTTATCATTTAAAAATGTGATCATATGCGATAATAGTGTGCCATTTGTACCTGATCGACCGAAAAATGATGCTAAACATGATAAACCATTTGTGTTCATTAAAGCAAGACGAACATGTGGATTTGGATCAGAGAATAATGCAACTAATCTTTCTTGTACGTGTAATCTTAAAATAGACAAATATGAACTATCTGACATTTTTTGATCACCTTGATAATCATGCAAAAAATCAGGAGACTTGTTTTGGTGGCAGAATATATATGTGACGAAAAATATTAAGAAAAAAAAAAGAGATAATGTTTTATTGATTTAAAGTTAATACAACTTGATAATAAACGGTATTTAAAACCATGTTTTTAATAAAAACTCAGTCAGTTAGTTATGGGTAAGAGGGCAGATGACACTTGCTCGTTGTCCCCACCGTGGAAGGGTGCTTACTGAGGGAACTGAAAAAGAAGTTGGAATAGCATTGTTCTTAGCGATCTGGGAGTGTGACCGCATAGCCCAAGGGACAACTACTTGGAGCGGGTAGCGTATGAACTTTTTATGGAAAGTTTGTAAAGTGTTAGCTCCGCTCTTGTTTAAAAGGCTTTACCACCGGGAACGGAAATCCATGAGGTAGGGTGAGGTGTGACATTTTTAGGGTCGACTTTTTCTAACCCTTCCTTCTTTGTGAAAAAGGAGCATCGCTGCAGATGCTGGTTTATGAGAGAAACACCTTACTGTAGTTACATCTCTCTGTAGTCAGGGGTACGGCTTTGCCCTCAGTTGCTGCTTTTAGTGTTCAGTCGAAATGCGCGGCATGATAGGACCTAAAGGAACGTGCGTTCCAGCCAAAATAGCTCGGTTGGGTCATCACGTGTTGCGCATGTTAGATCCCGCAGAGTTGGGAGTTATTTACGAAGTAGAGGTAGGAGGCGAAAGGTGGTCCAGCAAATCGAAATCAGATACGCAAACGGCTAGCCCCAGATCGCTCATCAAGAGCAGCAAATCTTCCCCTTGACATCCAGCTTGATACCTTCAACCTACCGGCAGCCCCACAACAAGAAGAAACTCAGCAACAAGCAGTTCTCCGTTCCAGAAGGTATCCTCTCAGACAGCGGCGAACAATAGTCAAGATGCAAGTCGACCCCGGGAGCACACGTTATTAAAAAGAGGAGGGGTATTGGGAATGTTAGATTCCAAGAACTCACTTGATAAATGCCTTTATTTTGGATTTTGTTGATGGGCTGATCAGTCGACATTTAGACCACATTTTCCACCAGGAAAAGCCTTGGCTGTGATTAGTTACTGTGTCATTTTAGTGTGCTATTTTGTGGCTGTCCCAAGGACGTCTCTATGGTGTATAAATAAACGCGATTTGTGTGCTGGCCGGATGTTTGTAGAATACACTTTCTACGCTATATCAAGACTTCTTGTTAGTAAATTGGGTCAACGGATCAGAGTAGACTACCTGGACGCTAGTTCATTGTCTCGTTCTCGTTATTCGACTAAGGTGAACTCGTAATAGTTTTAAGCATACCTAGAGACGAGTATAACATCACGATAGGCAAGCCCGACCACCACATGAAGGTAGCAGCTACGGTCGGGTTTACTAAAACCTATATATATATATATATATATATATATATATATATATATATATATATATATATATATATATATATATATATATATACGTAGGTCTAATTCAGCGATATACATGCGAAATAAGAATTAAGTAAGTTCGTTATCAATAATCTAGGGCATAAATATGTATGGCTTAAAATTGCTCCACTGCGTATCAACATAGTGGAGGACATTAAGATGTGTGAGAAAGGAGTCAAAGTACTGGTTATATTTGTGATGATGCAAAAGACCAAATGAACAAAATACAATTTGAAACGAAGGCATAAATTGACATGAGAAAAAGTATGATATAATTTTGAAATTTAAGATCTAAGGGAAAATAATGAATGCATGTACCTGAATAACTATGACTAATTATTCAACAATATCATCCATGATCTTACATCACTGATTATCTATCACACAGACTCAAACAAGTTGGGTATACACGTTCAATGTTGAAAATAATTTTTAATAATTATAAAGAAAATCTATACGGTTGATGAATCATTTAAAAGTTATTTATCAAATTGAAAATGGATAAACTTTAATGAGAACACTATTTTAACCTAAGCATTAGCTAATATGTTCAGATAAAAATATTTTAAAAGACAAAATATAATTCACAGTGTATGTTAAGAACAAAGTAATAAACAAAAAGGAATACAAACTCACTTTATGCTTGATATCAGTTGACTCTGAACGTAATTTTGAGATAATATTGAGAAACCTTAAATATAAGTGTATAGATAGATAAAAGAAAAAAAAAAATAGCACAATGAAAATAACTATAAATGTAATACAAAAAACAATAATAAAAGTTTGACTCAGATATGTAATTATTAATAACTATGATAATTATTAGGAGGTGTAGAAAGAATTTGATTCAGACCTATTTGGTCTCGTGTGCTTCTTTTATAGGAATGAGAGCGGATGTTACATCGTGACTGCCTACACTGGGCTCTGATTGTCAATCAATCAATAGCAACGTAGAACTTCGTACGTACCTACATCAGTTCAAGTTGCCATACCACATTAGCACACAGATGTAATTGTCAATTTTAAATCCCATAGTAGTAGAGGTAGTGAAAGTATTAGCATTAATCGGAGAGATTAGGGTTCGACGATATTATTCGAAAACTAGAACCTAGTGAAATGAACTTAAAAGAAAAAGATAAATGTCATGAGGAATTCAGAAGGTTAGAATTAGAGAGCACACAAAGAATGGATGCACCTGCGCTATTGCAAACGATTTTGAGCCATGTCATTCAAAGTCTCTAACCATCGGTGACCTTCGTCTCG